GCCTGGAGCGGCAGCGGGGTACGACTCAGCGCCCCGCGACAGCGGGACGGGCTCCAGGTGCTCCTCGCCAGGACCTGCCAGGGAGGAGACGAACCCCACGTGCTGATAAAGCATCAGGACTACAGCCAGCTACGACCTGCACTCTGTACCAGCCATCCCTGGAAACAGATTTCAACTTTCCCAGGAGGTAGTGCCAGCATTTAAATTAAGTAACTTGTATCGATAAAATGATAAATGACTTCTGTGCATTTCGCTGCTTTTGAATGCACTTATGTAAAATACCAAACATCAAATGATTTTAATACAACCAGAGAGAAAGATATGCAGGGAAGAAATCACAAGTAAACGTACCACATCTTTAACTGTGTCTCTTCTGCAGTCAGTTAAAAAACTAAAAGTGATGGTCCGAATTACAGTATTCCATACACTCTAGGATTAGCTAGTTTAATCAATGATTCCCATTTGTTTCTAATTACATTCTTCATAACATAGCATCCATGCACATTCCTATTGTTATTTTATTTTGAAAGTTATGCCAGTAATAAGAAAAGAGTGATAACAGACCTTTTTGTGGACTCAGAATTACACTTGTAAATTGAGCTGTGGGTTTCTTTCAGCTCAGTAATTATTAAAACCAAAATCTTTTTCTACCTTCCTGCCTGTATCTGAGCACTCAGGATTGTCAACACTTTAACAGTGTTCTTGAATATATTTTTAAGTTTTAGACATAAAGGTCATATTTTTCCCAGATTACATAATCAGATAATCTTTCAAAAACATTAAAGATACATGAAAAACTTAGAAAACTCAAGCAGTAACTCTTTCCACAACCATTAGGGGATTTCTCCCTCTCCCTCTCCACATTTTTTTTGCCACCGGTGAGTACAACTGGCAAAAGCACCGTGCAGCTCCACAGCTGCAGTGGCCGAGAGTGACACCACGCAGGCTCTAGCCAGAGATGCCTTCCTGCAAACTACATGCTGAGGAGGGCAGCTATAAAGGGAGGGCAGTTTCTAACCACGCTGGTAAATGTCTTCTTCCTCACATCCAGGATTGGCCCTAGACAGTCAGAGAGTTCAGAAGGAACAAGGCCATGACTTACTCACAGCACCCATCGCCACAGCCTAACCCGGGCGGTGCCAGAGACATCAGCACAGATCTGATTTGCACCAGTGGAAAGCACGAAATCAGTGGAGCTGAACTCAGAAGATCAGAATGAGGCTCATTATCTCTGCAAATTCATGCACAGGGAGTTGCATGCCGCACAGCCTTTCCTACTCTGAGTCACTCCTGCTCTAGGCTGTTCAGTAGCAAACTGTCAATAAAACTCATTAATGATGTGCTTTATATAGAAATAGTGCATTTAACTGAGAGGCTACAACAAATGAAGAGTGCAGCGAGGGGTGAATTACGTGGTTAATGGAATACAGGATGCGTGTCAGTAAAGAAGTGGTAAAGGTGGGTGGGAGTCTTAATGTTACATAGATCTGCTTGAAGTTTGGTACATATATGAACCTAATTCCCCTTCTGCTTTCAGTACAGTTATATCGAGCACTCCCCTGTGTTTCTAGTGATATATAAATTCTCTGATGAATAACTGATAACCAACTTTCTTTTACGTAAGCCATTACTGGAGAGCCAGCAAATATTACGGACATGTTGTCTGTCTTCTCTCTTTTTAGTCTTGTTCTCATCTGAATCATGTTTGGCTAGCATTCATATCTATCTGCTTGATTGGTGGTAGCTGCAAAAAGTAAAATAAAAAATATATATATATATATACACCCTTGCAGAACCGGCTGCAGTCACAGTGCACAGTGCAAAAAAGGTGTTCTTTGACACAGATCCTTATTTTTTGTCCTATATAAACACACATCTGCAGCCACTGGCAACACTATAGTGAAGGATGGTTTCTGTACTGCCTGTCCAAGTTCTACACCTTGTAAAACATTCTAGCATTGTGGCACAACATTTAATTACAGCTAACCACTGACCTTCTAAGCAGGCAGCTGTAATTTTTGTCCATTCAAAGCTCGTGTTTTATCTGATGGTTACAGGTAATTCTAACTTCTCAAACTAAATTAAGATGATCTGGGAAGCAACTCCTAAAAGAAAGTGAAAATGAGCAAGGGATATTTCACAGACTTGGGGGGAACTGTAATACATAACAGCAACAAAGAAACAAGAAGCTGAAAAACTGTCAATCCCACAGGAGAGTTCAGGTAGAAAGGAGAGGAGCCTAGAAGTAGCGAGAGTTGGGCAGAAGAAAATAGCTGTAACACTTCTCAACACATTCTCTTTCTGTGTGTGGGGGGGGGGGAAACCCAAACACAGCAGGAGACCAAAACTGTAACCTGAACCTGACCTCCCTCAAACTGGTTGTATCATAAAACCACTGGACTGAAATTTGGTCATTGCATCACCGACATAAAGCAGTCTTAAGTCCAGCCAAGCAACTAGACTGTGGTATTTTTTTTTTTTTCTTCATGTGCACTCAAGATGGTAGAGGACAACTAAGAATATGGCCTTTCAAAAGGAAAACCATGTCAATTTAATTGCCAGTTGCCTAGACAGCTTGTTTTTCTTTTGAGGCAGGGTTTGTTGTTTGTTTGTTCCTTTTTGTTGGGGTTTTTTTAATATTACTGCACTGAAATATGTGGGCGTGATACAGCATTTAACTGGAACATTAAGTTCCCAGGACGTATTTTTGTATGTATCCATTAGAAATGGAAATCAATACAGTAGTTAAAAACACTGAGGATCATAAGGTGATCAATTACGCAAAATATAAACCTTATCACTGACATAACATGACACCAGGAATATTCACTTAAAGATGTTCTTAAAATCTTAATAAACATCCCTGTACACAGGACATGTGATACGTGGTTTACAGAATGATAACCACTGAAAGGCTTGAGCAACTGACCTAATATCACGCAGAGAGTCAAGATCAGGCTGAGATCAGAACTCAGGATCCTGCTTTTCCACGCTGATCTTTCTTACAACTGCACGTTACTCCAAGCGCACAATGTCCTACCAATACCAAGCATTTCTGTTTCCACAGAACACCTTAATTTTGTGCTGCACAGAAAAAGAACTGGTGTGTTCAAAAGTGAGCATTCTAGCCATCATTTGCAAGCATAAAATGGAACTGCTAAGGCAGGACACAAATGGATAGCTTTAGCCAATAGAGAGTTAATTTATCATTATCACTGATAACAACAACTGCCAAAAATTCCAGTCCATACCTCCATAATTCAAATGAATTGTCCCTGCAGAAGAGGGATGAATAGAGAAGCATATGAACATGGAGCCTTCCAAATCCCTCAGCTTCTGACAAAACACCAGTTGCCAATCAGCACAGCAGCGGTGCAACTGTCAGCGTCCTCAGAACTTCATTCCAATACAGAAAGGCTCACAGGCCAGTGAACACTCTACCTCTCAACTCAAGCCATCTGCCCCCTCACCCTAAAGCATCCTGCCAGGTACAGAAATGTTCCCCCGATCTCCACCCCGTGTTCTGAATACTGGCACTGGAATGAGAAATGACTTAAAACATTGGTGTCTGAGCATAAAGCAGCTGAAGACTGCAGTGTTTTGTAGCTTCAGGTGGAACTCAAAAGCAGCAACTCGAACTCCTCTATGAAGAAGAAGAAATAATGCCATGACCTAAGTTTGCATTCTGTACACCAAACTTATTTACAGAGGGAAGGAAATATGTTTGGGAAGAGAGATTCAAGTCATCAGTCTTTTTTTACAGTGTCAGTATTTCATCCTCTACCAGGCCATCATGTGCCCGCAACATCTGTATTTGTATACATCTGTATAATACGGAGGAATACTACAAGGCCACCTGTATCTTACTTAAGTTTGACACCTATCTTAAGACTTGAGTTTGCCTTTAATCAGGAAAAGACATCAGTTTACCTGGGGTTTAAATGAAATTTTTTAACTTGGTGGGCTGCAGCCACGGGAGTCCTATTTGATTGAGTATTATCATTCAGCTGCTTTTCAGAATCCTAGCCAGCTGGGCCCAGACCTGGTACACAAGTACTGAACACCTGCCTAAATAATTAAACTCAAGGTGGTACGAGCCTGTATATTTTCATGGTGAGAGCCTAACTTTGTTTAATCAATCCAAGCACCAGCAGGTTAATTTCTGCCTCCAGAACCACAGTATTTCTAGGTGTGATCTGCTGTGTGCAGTCACGGGTATTATAAAGAAGGTAACAGGATCCTCACCACAGATATATAAATGAAATAAAATATTGCATGTAATGCTCTGCTGGGATAAATGCTGTACCCCTTCTGTACATCAGCCTGAAACAACCACACACAGGCTCCACCCGGCTGGAAGTAAGCCAAAAGATTATCCATCCTTTCTGTCGCACGTGGATTCTCCGAGGATCAGCGTCTGGAACTCCATGTGCTCGTTCGATGTTCATCTGCGGTTAAAGATAATGAGTTCAGACAGAATCGCACCCAAAAGCAACGGTAAAGGGAGACGCGTCAAGGACCGCACGGGCCGCGCGGCAAGAGCTGGATCCAGCGGGAGAGACAACAGTGTCCGGACAGCTGGGAGCTGACGAATTTGCCAAAATGGCCTGGCTGCAACAAGCGATGGGTGACCACGAGTGAATCGTTCGCGCGGCGCGGGCGCTCCCCCGCACGGTTCCTCCCGCACCGTCCCCTCGCCCCCTCAACAGCGGCGGGGGAGCGCTGCCTGCGCCCGCTGCACCCCCCGTCCCGGGCGGGCAGGGCCCCGCGCCCACCCGCGGCGGCGGCAGCGGGGCCGGGGGCTGCGGCTGCGCCCGCCCCGCCACCGCCCCTCGGCGCGGAGCCACAGTGGCGGGGCGGGGGGCCGGGGCGGCGGGCCTCGCCTCGCCTCGCCTCGCCTCACCCCCGCGGCGCTAAAATGGCGGCCGCCGGCGCGGCCGCCGCACACCCCAGGGAGCCGCCCCGGCCCCACCGCCGCCCCCTCACCTCCGCCGGCAGCCGCAGCCCTCCTCCTCCCGCCGCGGGAGCCTGAGGAGCGGCGGGCAGGACTACGGTCCCCGTGGGGCGCGGCGGCGGGCGCGCCTGCGCGGCGGGGGCAGGGGGAGGAGGCGGAAGCGGCGGCGACAGCGGGCCCGCCCGGGCGCCGCCATGCCCCGGGACAACATGGCGTCCCTGATCCAGCGGGTGGCGCGGCAGGCGCGCATCACCTTCCGCAGCCCGGCGGGGCCGGCCTTCGGGGAGAACCTGCACCGGCTGCAGCAGCTGCTGGACGAGGTGCGCGCCGAGGACTTGCACTTGGCGCCGCGGGGGCCGTCGGCGGCGGCGGCGGCGGCGGGCGGGGGGTTCCCGTGGGCCGGCGCGGTGCCGCCCGTCAGCTACATGCACATCTGCGAGACGGAGAGCTTCAGCATGGGCGTGTTCCTGCTGCGGAGCGGCGCCTGCATCCCGCTGCACGACCACCCGGGCATGAACGGCATGCTGAAGGTGCTGTACGGCACGCTGCGCATCGCCTGCATGGACACGCTGCCCGCCGCCGGTGCCCCGCCGCCCGCCGCCGCCGCCGCCGCCGCCGCCGGGCCCTGCCACCGCGCCCTGTTCCGCTCCCGCCAACACTACACGCCGGCCTCCCCGCCCTGCCTGCTCTCGCCGCACACCGACAACCTCCACCAGATCGACGCGGTGGACGGGCCCGCCGCTTTCCTCGACATCCTGGCGCCGCCCTACGACCCTCAGCACGGCCGGGACTGCCACTACTACCGGCTGCTGGAGGGGCCGCCGGCGGGCGCCGAGCCGCCCGGGCTGCCGCGGGAGGTGTGGCTGGTGGAGACCCCGCAGGCCGCCGATTTCTGGTGCGGGGGGGAGCCCTACCCCGGGCCCCGCGTCTGCCTCTGAGGCGGCGGCGGCCGCGCTCCGCCCTGAGGGGACCCCGCCGCCCCCCCCCCTCCCCGCTTCTCCCGGGCGCCTTCTCCCCGCAGCGCCGGGGGAAATAAATCGCCAGAGCGTGTTTGTTTCCTTCAGGGCGATGTGGAGGAGCGGCGCGGCTAAACTTCTGCTCGGCTTGTGGGAAGAGCGAAGGGGGGGGGGGGGCTGTTGGGGGGAATAATCCCGAGTCCTGTGTAAATAGTTAGGGCCGCGCACCAGCGAGGAGGGACCGGGCTCCGGCAGGGAGAATAAACGCAATAATATGACTTGTGGCGGGGGGCTGCGGAGGGCACCCACCCGGCAGGGGCTGCTCTGGCCGCCGCAGCCCTCCGTCTCCAGAGTGAGTCTCGGCGAGAGCTGCACCCTGCTAGCAAAAAAAAAAAAAAAAAAAAAAACCCAACAAAAAACAAACAAACAAACAAACCAAACCCAGAAGAACACCCGAGCCAGGACATGCTCCTCCAGCGAACGCCAGCGATCCCCAGAGCTGGAGTTAAGGGAATTCCTGCTCCAAAGGGACGCCGTCATGCTCAGAATTACTTCTTAACAGTTCTTTAAAGCGTTGCGTGTAAGATCTCGCGGTTGCAACTAAGAATTACAGAGTACGTCTATGCATACTTCCTTCAGCTAGGAGAAGGAGGCTAGTCAGCTGCTAATTAACCTCGCTGGGAACCTTTTCATGCAGGAGTGGCGGAGGGTAGCGGAAACTGTGGGCATCCTAAGAGAAAAGCCGACTATCCACTGTTGTGTCGTGGAAGCTGTTCTAGAAACACGACGTATTTGCAAACCCTATATATACAGCGCCGCGTGCACCCTAGGTACAGATAAGATACGACCCGATGTCTTCTCTTTAAAATGTGGTCTGTGTTTTTATATGGACAAATGAACGCTTCGGGCTTTTGGAGCCTTGCAGTTTCCTTCTTTATACTATTTATAAAGACTACTTTTTCATAAGGCTTTTAAATAAACATAGCGTAAAAGAAACACCGTGAATTTCGCCTGGCTATGATGGAAGCAGTCTGGAGATGCAGTTTGTCTGCGGCAGGGGATGCGATCTTTCTAACAAGGGAGGAACCTTTATTTAGGTAAAATGCTCCATCTCTACTGCAGGGACTGGTCTCGTACCCCTTCGTCCTAACGCACACTTCGTACTACAGACCCAGGCCGGTGCAGCCTTGGCCCTCTTGGTCAGGATGTGGGAATTTGAGTAAGAAAACACGACTTAACTAACCTCCTGAGTGACGTACCAACCTGTTCCAGAAATCATTCCACAAGTGGCTTTAAGTTTTCTTTGCGTATTTATAAAAGCAGACTTGTTTTTCCTGTACAGTGGCTTGTATGTACAAATTTTTACATGATTCTGATACGGCATTGTTGCCTTTTTTTTTTTTTTTTTTTTTTTTTGGCTTGTGAAAGAATTAATGTAAAATACAGTCAGCATTATGCATGCACAGATTAATTCTTTTGCAAGGAAAAAAAAATGGTGGAGATTATTTCAGGCAATTTCCATTTACTCTTGCAGCACTTTAAAGTGTCTGATATTTCTGCAGCTGGCTTACCTGTTTTTCCTGGAATTCCCCTGCAGCTTAGCATTAGTTAATGTGCAACAATTCTCTATCGAATGTAGTCATTAACTATAACAACGCAATGCCTCCCTGTGTTACAGCCTGTCTCTGACTCTCTCCGATGCTAATGAAGACCATCATCCTTTTTTCAGAAGTCCACAGAGAAGATAGCGTGGTACATGCAAACATCTGTACTGGAAAAACAAACTGTGACAGGGAGTACTTTTTTTTATCTCGTCTGCTCTGTCCTACCCTGAGGTCTTTCAGCTTGGTTTTTGTTTTGTTTTTTTTTTTTTTTTCTCCATGTGTAAAACCTAGTCGAAATGTTTAATGGGATAGGGCTTTAATGCATCTTTCCGTAGAGGACAGCATGGTCCCTTACACTGCGGAGTGCTGTTAACAACTATAGCAAAAACTTTTTTTTTTTTCCTTTTTTTTTCTTTTAATAAAGGTGTTAGCATCAAAGTATTAAAGCTGGGTAAAATAGCAAAGAAAACCTGAGATGCATTAAAGAAAAGCCTCTTTGTGTAACTTCTTGCTTACTCAGTGATTGAAACTTACTTCGTGTGTTCTGGATATCTGTAAGCAGAAGGTTTAAGTCTGTAATGCCGTTCCTCCTCTCTGCAGCCTGGTTATTGTGTTTTCACAACAGCAAAATCACTGTTATTGCTGAATTATAGAATAAATACAGGATATCTCACCACTGACCAGTCATTACTTTCCCTCACAAGTACAACAGTCTTGAACCAAGCGCGGTACGGAGCATGAGTTCCTTTCGCCTCGGGGTCCGAAGGGTGCCGCTGGCCTCTCTGAAAGGTGACGCTCAGCGCTGGCTTCTCAGCCCAAATCTTCCACCGGCGCCCTGCAGACCCGCCCGGGCACATGCAGTATCACCACTTTCGGAGCCGGCGGTCGGCGTAAGGTGAAGGCACAGCTTTAAGGTCGCAGGTACAATTACACAATGTAAGGTTCTCTTGCAGCTGTGTGCTGGTCGTTGGCGGTTTCCTTAATTCAGCTAATTTACGATTTCTGTGTTGTTTTTATCTCATTTTGCTGTTGATGGGGGTTTTAATCTTGTAGCCTGGCTGCAGGCAGTAGTTTGGAGAGCACGAGCAGAGCCCTGGCGTGTGTGCCCGGGTAGCTGAGATCCCCCTTGGGCTCACGACGCTCCGGCCACAACCGAGCAGCAGCCACAATCCGAGGCCGTGGCAGCACCTCCGGGAGCCGCAGGCTGAGAGCGCTGGGTCCCCGGCCACCTCCCTGTACTGCAGCCCACCGAGGAGGCCACGGGGGTGACACCCCTCCGGCAGCAGGCCACGGTCTCTTTTGGGGGGCCAGGAGTGCAGGGGATGAGGTGGCGAGGCCGCGAGCCGCCAAGAGCTGCGGCAGGGGAGGCAAAGGCTTACACGTGGGGTGGACGGCGGGGCGGCTCTGGAGCTGGTGGCGTTCCTGTGGCTTCTCCGTCCCCACAGAGACCGGTGCGTGCCCGGCTTTGGAAGGCTGCTTCACCTCCGATCCCAAAACCAAGCACCTTCCAGCTACCGCGCTGCCCACCTTTCCCAAGCAAAGAGCGGCTGCCCCAAAAGCCTGCACTGACAGCAGGACCCGGGGGTGGGACCTAGTGGGGCCAGGCCGGGAGAGCATCTTCAAAAACAATAATCAAAATAGGTTTAAAAAAAAACAAAAAAAAAAACAAAAACAAATAAAAAAGCAGTGCGATGTTGTGGGCAGATGGGCCGGGCAGCGAAAGGCGGGCTGTGCCGCGGGGGTGAGCGCTGCCGCCCCCGGCCCACCCCACCCCCCCCCCCCCCCGAGCCGCTTTCCCCGAGTGGCGGCTGCCGGTGCTCGCTTCTTTGGTGCCCACTCGGGGAGGTTTGCCTGGGGCGGCTCGTAACCGCGGAAGAAAACAGAAAGCGAGTTTAAAAAAAAAAAAAAAAAAAAAAGAAGAAGAAAGGAGAAAAAAAAACCCAACCCACCCCGCTCCCCGGTTAATATTATCCCGCGTCCCGTCTCCGAGGGGAATCCCCGCGCCGGAGAGCGGGTGTTTGGACGCCGGTTTTCCGCGTCCCCCCCGGCGCCGGGCACCGGCGGGAGGCACCCCCACCCCCGGGTCAGGGAACCTACGGAAATAAAGGTGTCAATTTAGTATAATTAAGAGATTTATTTGTCGTATTTTATAAACGTTGTAAGCACCTACCCTATTGTCGAAAAGTTTATTTACAGAGTGGCCAGAAAGAAACCCTCTCTCCTTCCAGCTCCCGTTAGTGGTTGTGCATTATTCGTGTTATCGACCAACTGCGCGCCGGGTCCCGGCGGACAACGGGCGTCAGTTCCAGCCAGAGTATTTACATCCCGTCCCAAATCCTACTACAAACGTAACACTTTTAAGTCACCAAAAACAAAACCAAAACCCCAAACCAGTGCGTACAAAAATATAGTCTCTAAAAAAAAAAAAAAAAAAAAAAAAAAAAAAAAAAAAAAAGTCTCAATATTAATAGGCAGAAATGTACAGCCATACTAAAACCAGGGAGGGAAAACTTTCCGGTCTCGGTATCGCCGCTGTCGTCGGAGCGGATCGGTAAGGCACCCCCCCACATGCAGACAGGGGACCGGGCTCTACACCACACAAGGCACCAAGGACACCTCACCACGACGGCACTGCATGCATCCATCCTCCCGCCGCAGCCCCTATGTACACCCGCCCGGCCCGGCCCGGCCCGGCCCGGCCCGGCCCGGGGGAGCCCCGCGGCGCCGCCGGGTGCCGATCGCGCCCCCGCCGGGCTCCGCTCCGCGCCCCCCCCCCCCCGCCGCGCTCGGCGGCGGCTCCGCGGCTCCGCGCTGGGTCCTGCGCGCCCCGCGCCGTCAGGGCGTCCGCGTCCGCGCCGCGCAGGGGGCCAGGGCGGCGGGGCCGCTCCCGCCGCCGGGCTGCGGGCACCCACCGGCGGCGGCGGCGGCGGCGGCGGCGGCTCCTTTCCGCTCCTTCTGGCGCAGGTGGATCTTGGTGTGCCGCTTCCTCTCGTCGGAGCGGGCGAACTTCCTGCCGCAGAAGTCGCAGGCGAAGGGCTTCTCGCCGGTGTGCGTGCGGATGTGGGTGGTGAGGTGGTCGCTGCGGCTGAAGTTCCGCATGCAGATGCGGCACTGGAAGGGCTTGTGGCCCGTGTGGATGCGGATGTGCCGGGTGAGCTCGTCGGAGCGGGAGAAGCGGCGGTCGCAGCCCTCGGCGGGGCAGGGGTAGGGCCGCTCGTGGACCGGCGTCTTGCTGGGCCGGTTGGGGTACTTGCGGGGCCTCAGGATGGGCCGCAGCGGCAGGTGGTGGGGGCTGTAGGCGCCGCCGGGCAGCCGGGCCCCCGCACCCGCGCCCTCGCCCCCGCCGCCGCCGCCGCCGCCGCCGGGAGCGCTGCCGGGGGCGGTGCCCGCCGGGGCCGCCCCCATGGTGAAGTTGCGGATGGTGGAGAGCGGCGTGAGGGGCGGCGGGACGCGGAGAGAGTCGAGGGGGCAGGGGAAGGGCTTGCGGTCGGGGCCGGCGTGCAGCTCCCGCTGGCACTGGGGCGGCGGGAAGAAGCCGCCGTACTCGGGGATCATGGTGAAGAGCCCGCCGTCGGCCGCCGCCGCCTTCGGGGAGGGGTAGGAGGGCGGCGGAGGGGGGAAAGGCAGCGCCCCGCCGCCGGCGGCGGGCAGGAAGGCCGAGGAGGGGTCCTGCGGGTACAGGTCGCCGCAGCCCGAGTAGGGCGGCGGCGGCGGCGAGTAGAGGTGCTCCAGGTCGGCCGGCTGGCCCTGCGCCATGGTGCAGCCGAGGGCCCCGGCCAGCGGGTTGGGGGAGGCGGCGGAGGCGGCGGTGGCCGAGGAGGAGGCGGAGGAGGCGGCGGAGGAGGCGGAGGAGGCGGCGGAGGAGGGCGTGCTGACCCCCTGCAGAATCCCCGCGCTCACGATGTTGATGATGCCCTCGGGGTAGCAGCCGGCGCCGGGGTACTGCGGGTCGATGGAGAATTTGCCCATGTAGGTGAAGGTCTGGTTGCGGGAGGCCGGGGCGTTGGGCGCGAAGCCGCCGCCGTAGGGCAGGTCCAGGGCCCGCTTGTCGCCCATGTCCACGTTGATCATGCCGTCTGGGGAAGGGGGGGGGGGGGGGGGGGGGGAGGGACGGTGGAATTGGGGGTGCAAGGAGCCGGTCAGCCCTCCGCGCAGCCACCCGCCGGGCGGCCCGGCCCCGCTCCCGGCCACCCCGGGGTTGCGGCGCGCACATGTTGCGCTCCGGCTGCGGGGGCTCCGCGCCGGCCCCAAGTTTTCACCCACCCCCCCCTCCTCCTGCCCGAGCCCGGCGCGGAGGCAGGGCTGCTGCGAGGGGCGCCGGGGACCCCGGGCTGGTGGCGGGCGAGCCCCCACCCCTCCCAAAGTCTGCCGCCCCCCCCCCCCCCGCCCCCCCCCCCCGCCACCTGCGCGGGCTCCGCTTACCTCCTGCCACCCCGCTCATCTGATCAAACGGCCCTGCCAGGTCGGCATTGGGGAAGATCGCGACCGAAGTTGGCAGCGCGGCGGAGATGTCATCCGCGGGGTAAATGCCCTCGGGGAGCTGGTGCACGAACCCGCCGAGGGTCACCGGGATCTTGTCCACCGCCTTGGCGGTCATCATGGGGGCGGCCGGGGGCGGGGAGCGGCGCTCCCGGCCGGCGGTCCGCGATCGGGGCGGGGAGGGAGGGGAGGGAGGGAGGGAGAGGAGGGGGCGCTTCCCCCTGCCTCCCCACTACCGGCGCGGGGGGACGGCGGGCAGCGGGCGGGGAGGCATGTGCGGGCGGGCGGCCGCCCCGTCGCGGCGGTGCCGGTGCCCGCGGTGCCCCGGGAGAGCCGCGCTCCCGCCGCCGCTCGCGCTGGAGGACAAGTCTGGCGGGAAGTATTTATGGGGGCCCCCTGAATGCCCGGGACGTCACTGCCCATATAAGGACTGAGGAACGGGGCCTGGCGGTCACGTGGGCGCCCGCGTGCGGGACCCGCCGCCCCGTGCCCGCCCCGGCACCCCCCCACACCCCCCCTCCCCAAAATCCTTCCAGCCCCCCCGCCTCCCTCCCTCCCCTCCCCGCTCCGCTCCGCGCCCCGCGGGGGCGGCCCCGGCCCCCGCCGCCGCCCGCCGCGCCGCCCAGGGGGGTATTCCGGTGGCGGGGCCCCTTGTCCTAAAAAGGCGAGGATCCGGCCCCGCCCCGCCTGCCCTTTTTAGGGCTCGTTCCGGAAAATTTTAGAAAGCTCGGAAAAACAGAGGAGGTCCCGGGGCCGCCCCGCCGGACCTCGGCTCACTTTCTCAGCAGCCCGTAACCGCAAAGCGGCGGCGGGTCAGAAAACAGCCGCATTCACGGAATCCGGCTTCTCCTTTCTTAAAAAAAAAAAAAAAAAACAAAAAACAAAAAAATAATTTTTTTTCTGTTTTTTTGTTTTGGTGGTGTTGGGTTTTTTTTGTTTTTTTTTTTTTTTTTTTCTTCTGAATTACGGGTGGAAAGAGGCGCCGAGCAGAGCGAGCGTGTCGCTGCTTTTTTTGGAAAGTGTCTGATCTATATATATACCGCCGCGAAAACGGAACCGCCCGCTCCGCCGCCGGTGCGTTGTTATTGTACCGACGGGCGCAACCGGGGACGGGACGGGACGGGGGCGGCGGGGGGCGGGGGGGGGGGGGGGAAGAGGGGGGCCACCGCTCCCCCCCCCGCTCGGACCAGCCTC